GTCTTCCATAAATGACTAGCTACTTAACTTATCTGCTTATTGGTCTCTTAGGCATCTCATAATTTTAACATGACCAAATTGGAATTCTTAATTATCCTCCCAACCCAAACTCTTCCTCTTAGCCTTCCCTTACTCAGTACTGGCACCATCATCAACCTACATGCCCAAGCCAAAAATCATTCTTGACTTTTCCTGTACCCATGCAGCAACCTAGTCACTGAATTCTACCCTTCTCCCCACTAAATTTCTTTCAAACCCATCAAATTCTCTCTCTCTCACAGTCCAGGTGAGCATTGTCTCTCACTTGGGCTAGAGTTGTATACTGCTAGCTGATCTCATTTCTTCTAATCTTGTCCTACTCTCCACCCTCCACCAAGTAGCTACAGTCATCTATCCAAACAGAAATCAAATCATGTCTTTCTGCTCATCAGCTTTCCACATTGCACCTTACACCCAGGAGAAAGTTAAAGACAGGGCTCCATAAACATGTGTACAAAGCCCAGTGAGCTTGGGGGCATTACATATACGTCAAGGCCTTTGTAATCTATCTCCAGCTGATCTCGTCTCCTCACTGCCTCCTGTGAACCCTCACTCTAACCATTTTAGCCTACCTGCAATTCTAAGAATGCTATATGTCCTTGCCCATGACACTCTCTTCCAAGAAACCCTTGACTTCTTCATCCACTTGACTTACTACTGCTTATTTTAGATAGAAAGTTTAAGTGTCATTTTCTAATATTTTCTTCACTTTCACCATCCTAGCTGCCTTTGTGCTTCCAGATGTTTTCATGCCTTCCCTATCATGTAACATACTAGTCTATATTTTAATCATTCTGTTTATTTTCTGTTCCTTTCATGAAACCATGAGAGTCCTGTAAGGCAAGGGCAACTTTGATTTATTTATCTCTATGTCACCGATATTTAGCCCAGTACCCGATGCATACTAGGCATCAATAAATGTCTATTGAATAAGTTATTAATACATAAACTTATGAACAAATAAGAAAAGCTATGACAAACCTAGACAGCATATTACAAAGCAGAGATGTTACTTTGCCGACAAAGGTCCATCTAGTCAAAGCTATGGTTTTTTCAATAGTCACGTATGGATGTGAGAGTTGGACCGTAAAGAAAACTGAGCACCAAAGAATTGATGCTTTCGAACTGTGGTGTTGGAGAAGACTCTTGAGAGTCCCTTGGACTGCAATGAGATCCAACCAGTCCATCCTAAAGGAAATCAGTCCTGAATATTCATTGGAAGGACTGATGTTGAAACTGAATACTTTGGACACCTGATGCAAAGAACTGACTCATTGGAAAAGACCCTGATGCTGGGAAAAATTGAGGGTAGGAGGAGATGGGGATGACAGAGGATGAGATGGTTGGATGGCATCACCGACTTGATGAACATGAGTTTGAGCAAGCTCTGAGAGTTGGTGATGGACAGGGAAGCCTGGCATGCTCCAGTCCACGGGGTTGCAAAGAGTCAGACACGGCTGAGCGACTGAACTGAACTGAACTGATAAACAAATAGTGACCTTGGAAAAGCACATTCAAGAGTAAATTTTTTTCAAAGGCTAAAAAACAACTGAAGGGGGAGTAAATGGAGAAGATGAGTATAAACCATGAAAAAATGGTGGGGGGGGGTGCGGGGAAGGAAGAAAGGAGGGCTGAGAGAAGATGTTACAGAGATCGCTAGTTCCCTAACCAATATTCATTGTCCCCTATAAAAGACTGGCTTCCACTGGGCACATGATCATCTAAATTGGAATAAAGTCTATATTTCCTGACCTTCTTGAAACTCTACATGGCCAGTGGGATATAAGCAGAAATGTTGTGTGGTAGAATTTTGCATATTTCCTTGAAAAGGTCATTGATGTGTGCCCCTTGCCTCTTCCTACCCCTTCCTCCTTCTTACTGCTTGGAATATTGATACAATGGTTGGCACCTCCTCTTGGTCCCTGAGGAAGACAGCCACACTCTGGGAATGGCAGAGCAGAAAGCTGGAAGAAACTCGAGGCCCAGATAACTATACAATCATCACATCAGTCTTGGATTGCCCTCCTCACACCCTTCACATGAGCAAGAAACTTCAATTTTGTTTAAGCCATTGTTCGGTCGGGTTTTTCTGTTACTCACAGCACAGTCTAATCCTAAGAAATACAAAGTGTGGCTTTCTTTAGGATGGGAGAGATAAGATAATGTTTATAGCTAGAGAAAGGAGTCAGTAGAAAGGGAGATAGCAGATCCAGTTGACAGATAAGGTTAATGAGGGCATGGAAGGGATGGAGACCTGGGACACAGAGGGAGGGATGGGGCTCTGGTTAGGAACAGACACTTCTCATTCTGTGAGCCCTAAGGAAGGGGACAAGAACTAACATTGGCTGAGCACATTCTAGATACTAAGTGCTTTATAAATATATCTAACCTACTCATTGTAACACTTCAAGGTCAGTATTGTAAAGAGTACAAGTTTTAAGTTGTGCTCAGCTGTGCACAAGAAACAACTTTAGAGAACTCCCCGGTGGTCCAGTAGTTAAGATGCCGCACTTCCACTGCAAGGGGCACAGGTTCTATTCCTTAGTTCCCTGGGAACTAAGATCCTGCAAGTTGCACAGCATAGCCAAGAAATAAGTAACTTTATTATTATTTCAATGAGTTCAGTCTCTATCTCAAGTTATAATCCTATTTCAGTTCTGTCTATATTGTTTGTGATAACAATAGCAAAAGGTTGAAAGCAAACAAAATGTCCAGCATAAAGGATTCATAAAATAAATTATAGTCCATTTCCACAATGGAACAGCCTACGACTGCTAAAAAGAATTAGGTAGCTCTCTTTGGATTGACGTGTAATGAACACCAAAACATATTACAAAGTGAAAAAACATGTTGAAGAACATTGGGTATAACATGCTATAAATGTATGTAAAAAAGGAGAAGCCAAATCAAAGAATATACATGCTTATTTGTACGTATGCATCTATCTCTAAAAAGAATACACAAGAAACTAGTGTATATGCCTTGAGAAAGAAAGGGGTGCTGAGAAGGAGACTTGCATATTCTTTGGGGATTCCCTGGTAGCTCAGCCTGCAATGCAGGAGATCTCAGTTTGATTCTTGGGTTGGGAAGATCCGCTGGAGAAGGGATAGGCAATGCCTATTGAATTGAAGATGATCTACAATCTACATATTTTGCTTAAAAAATATCACTTAAATAAATAAAACTTCATCAGTTGAGGATTTTTCCTTCATCCTCCTTCTTCCTGGGCTGGCATCTCAGTTCTAGCAGGCTTGAACAGCCCAGAGGCTGCATTGAAAAACTGAAAGTGTTAGTTACTCAGTCGTGTCTGACTGTTTGTGACCCCATGAGCTGTAGTCCACCAAGCTCCTTCGTCCATAGAATTTTCCAGGCAAGAGTACTGCATTTGGGTTGCTATTCCCTTCTTCTCCAGATCTTCCCCACCCAAGAATCGAACCCAGATCTCTTGCATTGCAGGCAGATTATTTACCATCTGAGTCACCAAGGATGCCCAGTGGCTGCAGTAAGAAGCAGCTATTCAGCCTGGAAACACTTAGATCAGAGGTGGATTCAGGTTGATGGGGCCCTATTTACACAATTTGGAGAGACTTTTTTTCTTTTTTGGCCATGCTATATGGCATGCAGGGTCTTAGTTACCTGACCAGGGATCAAACCCATGCTGCCTGTTTTGGAAGCATGGAGTGAGTCTTAACCACTGGACAGCCAGGGAAATCCTTGGAGAGTTTTTTTAAAAGAATTGTGAATAAACATTAAGTACAGGCCTTGGAATTTGTCTGTGCAAATGAGGGGCCCTGAAGCTGAAACTTCAATGGCTTCAAGGTAAATCAGCCTCTGATGCTGACTGCATTATTCCACTGGATCTGGGCTAATGTCCCTCCTCCACATTGTGCTACTGAGATAAGCCCAGGCTCATCTTATTCCCAGCCTAACAGTCATGCCCTGGATGCATACAGTCATCACTGGCAGCCTTCTTCCACACTTGATCTTAGCCAAAAGGCCGAGAAGCAATGGCAGCCTTCTTCCAATCTGCCAGCTTCCTCTTTTTCTCAGATAACTTCAGTGCCCTTCTTAGAGGTTACAGGAAAATTCAGCTGTTTTTTTGCAGGAAGGGTGACCCCCTTCCGGGGCCCAAGAGTGGACTCTTGTCTAACATTCAGAAATGAATTGTCCGAGGAGACACATGTGCTGACAAAGCAAGAGACTTTATTGAGAAGGGCACCTGGGTGAGGGAACCCAGGGGAACTGCTCTGCCACATACCTCACAGTCTCAGGTTTTATTGTAATGGGCTTAGGTTCTGGGTTGTCTCTGGTCAGTCATCACGCTTGTGCCCACATTTGGTCTGACTCAGGGTCCTTCCTGGTGGTGCGTACATCTTGCAGCCAAGATGGATTCCAGTGAAAAGGATTCTGGGAGGTTGGCAGGGCAATATTATGGGCTGGCATCTCCTGCCTCCTTTTTTTTTTTTTTCTGCCTCCTTTTGACTCCTCCTGAATACTTCCGGTTAGTTTTATAAGACATATTATGGGCCGGCATCTCCTCCCTCTTTTTGGCCCCTCCCAAATTCTTCCAATTAAATTTTTTTCCCAATTAATTTTTGGTGAGAGCACCATGTTCCTTATCGTGACCTCCTTTTGTGAGACAACTCATACAAGTGGTTATCATCATGCCTTGTCAAGGTGGACTGTTTTGGTTACCAGTTCCCTAAGATTCTCACAAGCTAGTGCTGTGAGAAAATTGGGAGGATCAGAATATGGACAGTAAAATAGCAGCATTGTGAACTCCTCTGAGATCATGAAAACATCAGTCCCCACTTGGGCGTGTCATGTTCTCTGGCAGTGTCCAGCCAGCCAGGTGCAGGAGCAGAGAAAGGAGAGCTATTGTATTGAGCCACAGTTGGGATTTTGTATAATGAGTATTGTATCAGGACAAGGACAAAGGAGGTAGTAGAATGGCATGACAGATGTTGAAAGGATGGACCACGGATACTAGATTCAATGGTAAAGATCAGGATTTGGGAAAAAATGATAGTGCAAAGGTAGGGTGGTGGTGGAGGTTGGAAGTAGGCAGAGTTGAAGTCAATTTACTGTGAGGTTGTGGTGCTAAGAGGATCAGCAGTGATTTCCATGACATCACTATATCCTAGTTCTCTTTCTGTCTTCATGGTCATTCATTTACAGTCTCTTTTACTGAAACTTCTTTCTTTAAAATAGTCATATCTCCAGGACTCTGTCGCCATACTGGACCTCTCCACTTGGCTATCCCACAAGCCCTTCAGATTCAACACAACAGATTTGTCCAGCTCATTCTCCTCCCCACCTCCTATTTAGTCTTCTTCCAATGTATTGAGCCTTATTTTACAAACTTAATTTACATAAGAACACTCAAATTTTAGAGATGAGAAAACTGAGGCTCTGTTTCCACAACTTGCCCAGTTTCCAGGTCTGCTACAATCGTCAGGGCTGGGATTTGAGCCTAAGTCTGGCTGACTGGAAATCCCATCCTCCATTCATGAGTGCCCTTTGATAATTTTGGAATTTTATACTTACTAGGCTCTGTCCTGCTCAGTGGAACCACCATTCACCATGTTACCTAAACCAGAAACCTGAGAGTTATCCTCAACCCTTCTTCCTCACTATCTCTCCCCATGTAATATAATCTACTCCATTACCAAGTCCTGCTGATTTTACCTCATAATATCTTTGAATCCATCCACCTCCCTCTGTCTCCACCACCACCTCTCTCGTCCAAACCACCTGGACTGCTAACTGACTTCCACATTCTTGTTTGAACTCCTCCACCCATTCTCCACATACAGCCAGAGATGCTGCTAACAAAGCATGAGTCAGAGCAGGTAACTTCCATCAGTGCCTAAAAGATCAAGTCCACTTTTTATGTGACATAAAAGATTCTCTATTATCCTCATCAACCTCAGCTCTGGCTCTGTTCTTTCTTAAACAGGGCACTCAGGGATTGAGTTAATTCAGCATCTGAAGTTTATACTACTAATGAGGTCTCTTTAAGAAAAAGAATACAAAATTAGGTAGGAGACTCTGGGTAGGGGGGCAGGCTCTCCAAGTGAGAAACCCTGAAGCTTAAAATTCATTAGCATCACAGACAATCAATTTCTAAGAAGACTCACCAGTTTGGTAAAAGCACCATGCTGCTTCATATGCTTGCTACCTTGACACATGTGTCTCCCTACTTGAAATGTCCCTTCCCCACTTTTACCTAGCAATTCATGCCTTGCCAGTGGTGTGCTGGAACCAGATCACAGGCTCAAGAGAGCTGATTGTTAAACAATAATTTTGTGAACTTGTTGTTAAACACAGCCATTATTCAAAGTTTAATTAAATAAATTTCCAATTAAGTAAACTATATCAAAAGTAAAGGTAATAAATACTCAAAACTCATCACTTCCTAATTATTTTTCCACATTTTATTGTTATCTGTGTTTGTGATGCTATCTCCATCTATTGCATCTATGGTGGAAATATTCTATAATATGTGCTACAGTACATCTCTTCCCAGCTCTGCATTCATGGACTTCACATTGATAGCTTAAAGTGGGTGGGAGTATTTACAGCACAGAAATAAGCAAATGCCACAAGACTTGGTTTTCCCTAGAGAGCCCATTGTTAAGTATTTACCAGCACACCAATGTTATAACCCAACTCAAGGAGCACCTCTGTGCAGCCAGCCCTGATTTTCTCCTCCTTACATGCACATGTGCACACGCATGCACACACACACACACACACACACACACACACACCAGTTGATCACCACACCCCTCCTATACCCCATGGTAGCATTTTAACATACTCTATTTCAAGAGTTGGTTTAATTAAAGGCAGGTACTATGTTTTTCCAGTAGTCATATATGGATGTGAGAGTTGGACCATAAAGAAGGCTGAGCGCCAAAGAACTGATACTTCCGAACTGTGGTGTTGGAAAAGATTCTTGAGAGTCCCTTGGACTGCAAAGAGATTCGACCAGTCCATCCTAAAGGAAATTAGTCCTGAATATTCATTGGAATAACTGATGCTGAAGCTGAAACTCTAATACTTTGGCCACCTGATGTGAAGAATTAACTCATTGGAAAAGGCCTTGATGCTGGGAAAGATTGAAAGCAGGAGGAGAAGGGGACAACAGAGGATGAGATGTTTGGATGGCATTACTGACTCAATGGACATATGTTTGAGCAAACTCTGGGAGATGGTGAAGGACAGGGAAGCCTGGTGTGCTGCAGTCCATGGGGTCGCAAAGAGTCGGACATGACCAAGCAACTGAACAAGAACAACTATGTTTTATCCATCTTTGTATCACAAATGCCTCACACAGTGTAAGGGCTCAGTAAATGTTGGTTGAGTTTCTGGATTCAGTTTCTTCTTATGTCAAATGAGAATACCTGCTCTCCCTACCACATGCAGACTTTACAAGGACAATTGAAATACTAGACATGAAAGCACTTTGAAGGAAATAGTGAAAAGTGTCATACAAGTGCAGGGTATTATTTTCACGTGTTCATATAGTTTAATGAGTTTCCATCATAAAACACCTGTTGAAACATATAATTCTAGCTTTTCCTTGTTCTCATGAAAGATTTTCTGACATTTAACCCTTGGGCTCCCTGGGCATCTTTGAACCTTTCTGGTGTGAGAGTCAGGAGAAATTGCTTTGTTTTTAACAAAGCTGACTATAAAGTATGTTCCTATAAAGTTGATTTTAGAAACCTACGAAGAAAATGATAAAAATTCGAGATATATTGCCATTGAGGGGAAAATCCCAGTTGACATTTAAGGACCCAAAATGATAAAAGGTATCAAAATAGATTAAGTCACTTTACCCAAAACTCTCTTTTTTGGTATCCTATTTCATTTTTATTTGTCTTATTTAACAGGTTCAAATATCTAGTTTACTATGTGTCAGATACTATTCTAAGTGCTTTACAGATATTAACTCATTTAATTTTCACCAATCACTCCTTTTTATTTTTTAGTATTCATAATAACAACTAACATTTATTGAGTGCTTGCTATGGACCAAGAATTTGCTAAATTTTTCTGTCTTATTATTCATGAAAATCTCACATTAGCTCTCATTATCTCCACTTAATGGAAAAATGAGCTGAAACTAAGGGTGTTAAAAACTGTCCCATATTCTCATTGTATAGATGAGGATACTGGGTCACAGAGAGGTTAAGTAAATTCCCCAAGGTCACACACTTTCTTCCATTGTGGGTCATTTCTGGACCATAACCTCACGATTCTGACTTTACTCTTGCAGCCCCACAACCCACTCTTTCCTTCTTCTCCTATGTGGATATTTACCAGATAATGATCACATCATCTCCTACTATGTTGGGCAGTAATAGCAAACTATATCAGTATGCACTGTGACATGAGTCTGGCTTTCAGCCAAGAGAGCTGAATTTGTTCTGCCACTAACCAGTTGTCACATCTGGGGAGCCCCAAAACCCAGTAGGACAGAGAAGGCTTCAGCATGGCACCAATAATGCAGCCAAGAATTGCCTGCTGTAGTGGGAAGCCCCTTGAGGAAGGATGTGGCTACTCCCAGCAGAGTGTTACAGAAGGTTGCAAGTCTGGCTCCAGGGCTCTTCCCACTTGACAAGTTTCTCAACCTAGGAGGACTGCCTTGACCACCAGACCTGTGCAAGAAACAGAGTCATTGGAAACTGTATCCACTCCCTCACTTATGTCCTTGATCCCACCCCCTTTGTACTGAGTATTTGATGGTTCTAGAGCAAACCAAACATGCAACTTCGGGCCAGTGTGAGTGGATACTGTGATTAATATAATCCTAGGTCTTTGGACCACAATCAGCTTTCATGGTCTGACCTATATCAGACCTCCTGGGCAAGTTCTTCAACATCTCTGAGTCTCAAATTTTCCATTTCTAAACCTATGAGTCAGGGCTATGTTGTAGAAAGAAAAAAAGAGTTCTGTGTCAGACAAGCTTTTTCATACATTCATTCACTAAAGCAATATTATGGAGTGTCCACTTTGTGTCAGTCACCAAGTCAGTCACTGGAGACAGAGAGATGAACAAGACTGATAGTGGGGTAGTCCCAGCCCTTACAAAGTTTACATTCTAGTTGGGAAAATAGACAAGGGACGAGCAAATAAGCAAATAATATAAATTTGGATAAGTGTCACACAGTAACCACTGTGATAGAAGTAGTGTGTGGAGATGGGGGTAGGGGCAAGTTTACTTTTCACAGAATATCAAGTAAAGTTTCCCTCAAGTGGCATTTAATGCAAATCAAAACTACAATGAGGTACCAGCTCACACCAGTCAGAATAGCCATCATTAGAAATTCACAAACAACAAACTCTGATGAGAGTGTGGAGAAAAGGGAAGCCTCCTACACTGTTGGTAGGAATGTGAACTGGTGCAGCCACTATGGAAAACAGTATGGAGATTCCTTAAAAAAACTAAAAATAAAGAATTCCCTGGGGGTCCATGGTAAGAACTTTGCGCTTTCACTGCCAAGGGAGTGGATTCAATCCCTAGTTGAGGGACTAAGATCTCACAAGCCATGAGGCATGGCCACAAAAAAAAAAACTAACTAAAAATAGAGTTGCCACATGATCTAGCAATCCCACTCTTGGGCATAAATCCAGACAAAACTATAATTTGAAAAGATATGTGCACCCCTGTGTTCATGGCAACACTATTTACAATAGCCAAGACAAGAAACAGCCTAAGTATCCATCAACAGCTGAATGGTTAAAGATATGGTATATATAGACAAGAGAATACTACTCAATCACCAAAAGAAATGAAATAATGCCATTTGCAAGAACATGGATGGAACCTAGAGATTATCGTACAAAGTGAAGTAAGTTGACAGAGAAAGACAAATACCATATGATATCACTTATATGTGGAATCTAAAATGAATTTATCTATGAAACAGAAACAGACTCACAAACGTAGAGAACAGACTTGTGGTTGCCAAGAGGGGTTTGGAGGAGGGATGGACTGGGAGTTCAGGATTAGTAGATGCAAGCT